TTATATGTTTAAATTGTTATCACTATTAAAAGAGTGGTATTGAAAATAAAAGAACTTCTTTAATTAATGAGGAGATAAGAAAAAGTATAAATCTTTTTAAAATAATAATAATGCTAACACATGTATACAGCCTAATCAGAATCAGAATAATACTGATGATGATTAGAGGTAAGAAATTTTTACTTTTGATTCAGTTATCGTTATTATAAACACTTTCTTATGTTTAATGAGGAATATAAAATCTATTAAAGTATGAAAGAGTAAATTATAATAAAACTACACTAGCAGAAATTACTGATGCAATTGAAAAGAATCAAGGTAATGAAACCCAAACTTTTGCCTCAAGTATTAAGATAAATTAATAATACTAATGCCAATCTGAAAAGGTGATCTGCAATTTGACGAGCATTCAGATTCAGATGTACATCTTAATATTGGACTAAGTGGTGTACCTGTTATTCTTGTTAATGACTCTATTCCGGTAAGAATTTTAATTAATGCATAATAATATATTATTTTTTCCTCATTATTATTACATATTATTTTATTATTTTTCTTAATTGTCTTAGTTTTCATAAGATTTTTAAATAGTATTACTCTAGCTTTTTTTAAATTTTATATGTAAAATTTTATAAAAACATTTTTTAAATCTACCTAGATATTATAAATATAAAAAAAATTGAACCTGATTATGAAAATTACAATTAATTAATTTTGAATAGCTCTAATTATGTAATTTTTTTAAACAAAAAATTTTTGTTGATTATAGCAAGGAACCAAATAGTAAGAATTAAAATAAGATTTTGTATAATTATCATTATTTATTTCTAACGGATTGAAACTATCCAGCTTCAAATAATTCTATTAACACTTTGGTAAGTAGTATTATTTAAAATTTTGATTTTAAAATCGACAATGCTAATTTTATTAAATTAGCTAAAACCTCTTTTGTTTATTTTTTTAATACATAATTAACTTTACAAGGAATCACAAAAATACAATAATCTACAACCCAATTCGGATTTTGATGAAAAAATCGAGAAACAAGGAGATTTAGTCTAAAAGCGCAAATCTAAAATCAACCGAAAGTCAAAAAAGGTCAAAAAAGACGATTTCAAGGGTAAACAATTAAATTTTTTGTAAGATTAAACACATAATATGATATTATTTTTTATGTTAAAATTTGCTAATTGGTAATTATCGCATGTTTT